ACACTCCAAAAGCACAGAAAATCTCAGAACTGTGGTCTGCTGTGTTAATGTGTACCCAGACACAAGAATGGTAATGCAAAGAAGGACATTTCAGAATGCTTAACAGAAAGAGGTATGAGCTCCTAGATGCTTAATGCTGGTGACAGGATAAAAGGACAAACTATATTATGTACATGTAAGTCAGCTACAATCCAGTGCTCAAGGATTCAAGGATTCAAGGCCTTAAGGCCTTTTATTGGTCACAAACAGAATTATACATGGTGTAACACGCAGTGAAATACATTGTGTGCCTGTTCCACACCAAAACAATAAGAATAAGAATAAGGAGTAAAACACACAAGAAGTAAGAAAAAAAAAATCTATATATATAAAATAAATTTTCAAACAGTGCTGTGTCCTAATTCCATGCTACCTAATTGTTATATACATTATGAGCTGTATAACAATCTTCTTGGTGTTACATGTTATAAAATCTGCACATTCATTGTTTTTTTTTACTGATGATAAAAAACACTGTATTTAAATTCAGTGTTTCTTTCTTTTCTTTTTTCTTTTTAATCAGCATGTCCTAACCATTTTAATTTCTGCAGCTGTCAGTAGCTCTTCTATTTCCTTCTGCACCGCATTGTGGGAAAATGGAGAATGGGAAAATCACACTCAAAAAGCAGTTTTAGATCTAAATGCTGTGCGCCTTTGGGTGCACCTGATTGTGACGCTTTTTCCATTTAAACATACTACATAAACCTGATTAGTGTGTATGGTTTACAAGTGGGACACAGTGAGGGGCCTGTACTACGTAGTGTACCATACAGTGTTTTGCTGTAGCATCAAAAAAATGTACGTACTTGCAAATATGCATGTCAGTCAAACCATGGACTTATCACTTACAGTGAAACACTGTTAAACACACGGACATAAAATTGTCTCCAGATGTTTTACATGCTGTTGTCTGGGTCGTCCTCCAGTTTGGGTTTGTTTCAACTGCAAACAGATCCACCATTTCCTTTGTGCATTGGGTTGTGGAACATTGATTTCACCAACAGCCTGCTCAGTAGCTACATCGTGTACTAGTATGCATAGTAGTTGTTGTGGATATACTTCTTTCTTTTTACTTTTTAAATGTGAACACACTAGAGACTACAAATGTGTTTTAAATAAAGGGGTTGTGTAGCAGTGCACAGTGGAGGTCCCCTGCTTCACTGCAAGGTTATTATTGATATATACTGCCACCTAGTGGGCATCTCTGTGTTTTACCGTTTAGGGAAGTCAGCTTTCATGCTGTGTCTGTAATGCAGCAGTTTTTACTACCATGACAACACTGGGAAGAAGACATTTTCTGAAGTAAAGTCTTTGTGGAGGGGCATCAACTGATTATTTATTACAAAGGAAAAAAATCCCATTTTATGGAGTTAAAACCGTCTCCACAATAGTCCTAGCAGTTGTCTTTTCTGGAGTTTTACTGCATGTTTTTTGTTTTTTTTCTTATGAGCTTTTAAGGATCAGAACCTTGGGGTTACACAATGGAGGGAAAGTGCAAGAGAAAAACAACACTGGCCCCTTGAAGCAACCTTCTTGTAGCACCTTAATTTTGGAGTAACTGCCCAGTATGGTTTCAGTGCATCAGAGAAAAACAAAAATACTGAAATAAACACCTATGTATTTTTGAAAGACTTTACTTTTAGCAGAGTTTATTAGACCATAATTTTAACTGTAACAGTTGAAGCACACAAATGCTGAACATTGTACCAGACAAGAGACATTTATGCTCAAATATAAAATACATCTGTGTGGAGGTTGTGCAAGAACAGAGACTTATAACTGGAATTGTCATCTCAGTCTGTGTGTTCTTGCCTCGGAAATATGCATGCCTCAGACATTTGTAATGGTCTAAGGGATGCTCATGCCGGGAATGTTTAATTTGGAGGGCTGCAAACATTGATGTGATCTTGTCAGGAGGAAAAGACAATTCTTTTGTCAGTGCTTGATGGAGTTCTTTGTAGCCTTTGGGTTGCATGGGACAAATCAATTGGATTATTATCCAGTTCCCTAAAATAATTATTGATGTGATGATCACAACTGTCTGGATCAAATTTTCTGCACTGAGATTCAGTCTGCGGATAAATTCAGGGTAGCCGGGTTTTAGGCTTTGTGCTATAGAAGAAATAAACTGGTCAGTGCACTAGCCGAACCTCATGATGTGGCAGCTTGCCCTATGAGGAGCAGTTTCCTGTTGAACAGGGGGAGCTACAGCCCTATTTAGTGGATCTAATGCTAAGTTTGCTTACTGCAAACTAAAATGCAGGACAGTAACAGTCAGGGGAGTGTCGCTTAAAGTGACTCCAGCTGGAACATGTGTCAGTAACAGCAGGGTCATCTACTGTTTCACAGGCGAGGCTAGTGGCAGTGTGTGGCTCTCAGACTCTAGTTCTTACTCAGCTGGCAGTAACAGTGAGGTACAAGCTCTCTGGTGGAATGCTGTGTTTAATTAAAGGAATTGTTGAATTAGCAGTAAGGTTTGACAATTTGACTAGATTGCGTTGAATATGCAACAAATATTATGACAATTCCAGTGGTAAGAGAAGGCTTTTAAAGCAACACAATGAGGGCTTAAGATGGTGGTTATTAATAAACTAAATTTCTCTAATTGCTATATTTAAAATTTGATATAACAGATAGATTTTCACCAAAATGTTCTTTTTTGTAAGTACGGTATAGGGTTCAATGTAAAGGCTTTTGGTTAGTCTAAAAGTGGAATCAAGATTATTGATATTGGCCAAAAATTAACCAGCAGTTATACACAAAACATTTAACAAAGAAAATAAGACCATATGTGAGACTCTTTGTTCTGCCCTCACCATGTGGTCAGGCATGGATCCATGTATTGGGCCTGAACAAAAGAGACTAAAGCAGGAGGTCTGACTGTCCTGTCCACGTGTGGGTCTGTTTAGAAGCCAATGTAGATCATGTGAGTGATTTTCAGAGGATTGTGGTGCCATGTTTGCACAATTGCAGGCAAGATCCTGTGTCTGTGTGCAGCCTAAATGACCTCAACTTTTGCATGTCGCAGAATTGAGTACCCAATGACTTAATCCTCGTCAAAATGAAAGATCAACATTGTTACAGCAGAGGCGGACAAATCTAATTATTTTATCCTACATCTCCTACAATGCAGCCCAAATTCATCTGTTCATTTGGCCTTCCCTGCCTGTAACCAGTGCTGTGAGCTAGGAAATAGCACTAACTCTGTTGCATGCATGAAAGATCATGGTGTTCAGTTTGTGTTGCTGGAATATGTGACTGCATCGGCATGCAACTGCATTTCTAAGTTGCTGTCCTATCCTGTGCACATACAGAATTTCAGCTGCACGTCAGAAAACATAGTTTTGACAACAGCAATTGTTAATGCAGTTCTTAACAATTGTATGAGCCAGTCGAAGTTTCTAAGCTGCTCTACAGACATTGCAGTAGAACATAATGTGCACCAGTGAATGTATGCAGGATGCCAAGACAAATATAAAAACAACCAATGAACATGACCGTAGAGATGTATGTGGGATGTGTTGTCTGCTGCAGATAACTGGAATCATCTGCAGCAGACCTTAAAGCTTAGCTCATTCATTCCCCTCTCCTCATTTGAAAACTCATTACAGTCAATAATACAAGACTATTACACTTGCTTTTAGCTTTTTACACTTTATTATGTGTCACCGTTTATGATTGTATTGTCTGTTTCAATGTTGTTGTTTTTTTGTTTTCCCCCCCCTCTCCTAATGTCCTCATTGTTTTGTATCTACCTTTTATGCTCTATACCTTACTAATATTAAACAGAGAAACCCAACAAATCCAAGGTTTTATTTGGGCGGGGCTGCTTGTAGTTTGAGATAAGCAACAAAAACAAAGATAAAGCTTTTTTCATGGTAGACATACTGCAATAGTATCAGGACTTGGTTTAGTGTGTCCAGAATCCAGATCTGTCCCAAAATGGCAAATACAGGATGGCAAATACACTTATAAAACCAGCAACAGTTTATTGCTTTGAGATTTCATCACAATAAATATTGTTCTCCTGCTATGTGCTATGTCTGTGTGATTCTACTAAAATCTGATAATTCTAGAATACTACCAAAGACTTGTGAAAATAATACATCAGTACATCAATAACCACAATAGTATCGGCTGATGTTAGTGTTTTTTCCGATATGTTGGTATCGGTCTGATGAACAGATTTAGTCGATGTGAAAAACCGATGACTGTCTAACATTAGCGCCTTTGTCTCTACATTTGATATCGCTGCTATTTCACAGATGTTTTTACTTAAATGGTCCTGGACTTGAACGTTATATATAATAAAATATGTTTAAATGTGTTTTACTTTTGTTACATAATAAAGAAGACTATGTGGTCTAGTTTGGTATTGGCTTCTTTTGAATAGTTTTCACGTTCTCACAGTGCTTGCTTACAAACTTTTTGGTGTGAACAAAAATTGAATATCGACATTGGTAATATTGGTTATCGGCGATATCAGAAATCTTAATATTAGATATCGGTATCGGTCAGAAATTTTAATATTGTGCATCACTAGAAAATAAGCACAAGGCTGAACATCTATTATACTGAGGTTTATGAATGGTAGTGCAAATATAAAGAAAGGCCCAGAGACCTATACCTTGATATGAGTGTATGTCTGTGTTTCTAACTATGTAAACCAGGGGTGTTATTTTTACACTGTTAACCATTATTTACCCTGAAGCCCTGCATTTTTTTAATAGTCTGTTTAGTCGTTCAGTTGGAAAAAACACAAAACATTAATTTGGGACAAGGTCTCACTATTTTCTATTCTGAATTTGTTTGTATGTGTATGAAACAATATCTTGAATACATGTAATTGATCAAACATGCCAACAGTGTAACAACAGATTTCTCTGACTTGGATAATTGAATGGAAAGTACAAAGGAAAAAACAAAAACAAATGATCGTTGTTCTGTTCTTCTGTCTCCAGGCATGGATGAGAGGTTATGTGTGCTCCCCAGCTAAAGGCCTCTGCTGCCCTTCCCTGTGCATCCCACCAGTCCCTCTGTGAGCATGTATCGCAGGAACGGGCTCTCAGATGGCACCAGCATCAATTCAGTCACCTCAGAGGTAAGAGCAGGCTCCTGTAGTGGACATTGCCATAGTTTATATGGAGGATTCTGATTTAATTTCAAGGCTGCACGGTGGATCGTGGGTAGCACCGTTGCCTCACAGCTAGAGGAGCTCTGGTTTGTGTCCCAGTTCGGACGCCCGGGATTGTTTTGTGTGGAGTTTGCATGTTCTCCCCGTGCAGCGTGGGTTCTCTTCGGGTTCTCCAGCGTCCTCCCACAGTCCAAAAACATGTTGAGGTTAATTGGTGATTCTAAATTGTCCATAGGTGTGAATTTGAGTGTGCTTGGTTGTCTGTCTCTAAGTGTAGTCCTGTGATAGACTGGTGATCTGTCCAGGTGAACCTGTCTTCACCCTGAGTCAGCTGGGATAGACTACAGCTCCCCGCGACCCAAGTGAGAATTAAGCAGTGTATAGATGATGGATGAGGTGTCATCCTTCGGTGTGATGTCGTTTTTAATTCTTTAATTCTTAAGTCTTCCTTGATTGTCTCTGTATTGCATGTTTTCAGAGCACCATGTGAATGCTGTTCTAAAAGGTGCTTTATAAATAGTTATGATTGTTATTCTTATTATTATCCTCCTGTTGTAAAATAGCTTACATTTCTTTTGGAGCGGCATTCCAAGAGCTGTCCATCATCACAATTCATTGAGGAAAACAATTCAACAATACTATTTTAATAACCGGAAGATTCTTCTTTATTTTACTAACATATTTATATGTCAGTATATTTAAGACACTGATATATGATATAATATATTATATTTCAGTAACAAGGAATGACATTAACCTTGTAATTAGTCTAAGCTTAGAGTTTTATATTCAAACATTCAGTTTAAGAAGTGACAAAGCTGGAAGAAACTGTGTCTTTATTCTACAGCAGACTGACAAACATCTGTCACTTTGAGATCAGATCAGTTTTCCTTCACAGCTCTGGGAAACAGCTGGTTGTTACAGTTACAGCGGTACAAACTAGACAGGATGTGTTTGATATTTGGGTTTTTAATGTGTACTGACACACAAGATGTCAAAACAGAAGCTGTCAGAATGTTTCTGTTTAAGTGTGTGTTAATACTATATTTCTTGTAGGAGTCATAACAGCTCAATGCACCGAAGACATAGATTATAGAAATGCATTAACCCCCCAAAGAGTAGATACTGAGCAAGATACTTATCTAGAGTTTACCTTCGTGCTCGTGAGTAATGACCCAGTGAAGGACTCTGCTGTGAAGGTGGAGACATGCGGCGGTGGTGTATTTGCGACAAAAAAGAAAGAAATTTGAAGGAGCAGCGGCAAGGATTTAGGAATGGTGGCCCGCCACTCCTAAATAAATGTAGAGGAAACGCTGCAAAACATAGGCAAACCCAGACAATGTTTTACCAGTTTGATGAATGGGGCGAGAAGTTACAAAAAATCAGTCCAGATCATCTTAGTTCGTGCCAATTCCAAATAATGTTAAAACTAAGGTATTAGCAATAACCTGCATTATTGTCCTAACTACACTATGCAGCTCTGTAAGAAATAACAGTGGGATTGCTGCTACTGATTGATTGTATTTGACTGTGCAATATCCTCATTTTTAACTGCAACAACCATTTTTACCTTTCAGTTCCTGATCATAAGTGTTATTTTGTTATTGTTGAATGATGTGAGAGTGTGTATGTTGATGCTGACATGCATAATGTGGAGCAGCGTTCCAGTTATGTTGTACATTTCAATTCTCTCCAATACCATCCATAGTTGTGCTGATTCCGTAGAGGTGCAGGGCTTTTGCAGGGGAAAATGAGCACACAGTGAGGAAAAATGTAGAGAAAAAAAACTTTCACAAACTGCTAGAGGTCCAGTCCAATGTAATTTTAACCTGATAATAGCACTTCATGAAAGGTTGTAGTGGCCAATAACAACATTAGAGAGCATTCATTGGGTATGAGGGATATCCATGCTGGTATTCATGGTTATTGGTCCATTCGTTTCGGGCAGGTCCTACTCTGGATCCAAGTCTATGACTAAGATGAATGGACCAGCTTTACTGGACAGTTACCCCTCGTCGTCTTAGCACAGAACAGCAGTATTTTGTTCCACATGTGAGACAAGAACATATTCTCTCTTTCCAAATCATCCACAACCATCCTATGTCTTTTTGTGTTCCCATTGTTCTGTTTTTCTTGGTAAAATTTTATGAGTAATCCATTCCAGTTAGTTTTCTTGATTAAAATGCCAGAGCTAAGCCTTATTAACCCAGGATGGACCAAAAGTCAACATTATATAATAAACAGTCTGGGGGAATTTATAACGTACTATAATAATTTAAAATGGGTAATGTGCCAGGAACAAAGCATCTGTTTTTGCTCTGTGGGATCCTTGATTACCTATAATAACCCAGTGAATCGCATTATTCAAGTTATTTCTGTTTTTTATGCCTGCTGTTTTTTTATGTCTACGTTTACATGCTTTTAGTGTTTTTATTTGGAGTCGTACTGGTAACTTTATGACATCAGCCTTTGGAGTGTGTGAGTGTGCCTCCTTGTCTTGTCTCTTTGGCCTTTTGTATATGTATGTGTCTCATTAAAGTTTCTGTTTTCATTCAGTGTTTCTCTTCTAAGCATGCCATGTTTATCCTTAAGTTTTAGTTATTGTGATTAATGTGTTTCCTTCTGCATAACACATTTACAAAGGTAGTGAATCTTTGATTTCATTGTTGTTTACATCCATGTTTAATGGACTGCAGCCTTCCTCTTTCTGCCTTTGTTGATGCAGTAGTTTGTTTCTGTAATGTTTAGACAAAACAAGAACAAATAATACAGGCTTTTGGTTAAAAACTCCACAGAGAACCTCTAGATGGCTTTGGTTTATCATGCATGTGTTTATGGATATTTGTGCTAAAGGCCAGGAGTTGTTGAAGATAGAAAAATATATCAAAAACATTCATTGTTTTAGGACAATAAATATGCATGACAAATTCTATGAATATCAGGCCTTTAACTGATGGCAAAGGAAAAACCTATATTTGAAAGTTGCATTTAGGACTGCATGGTATTGTAAAAAAAAAAAAAAAAAACCTATTTAAACAATGTTTAGTTTTTCCTAATATACATTGCGATATGGGAAAAAAAAAAAGCATAGTTTAGGTTGGACATTTTGGAAAAAGGTTCAAAGGTAGAAAAGCAGAATCATGAAGTTTAATTTCAACTGATTTCTTTTTAATTCCTCACCAAATGTCACCCACACTACTTTCACATCAATAGTTTACACCTATTGTATATTTCCTGCTACCTGTCCATGCCATTAGTCCTGTGAACTGAATGCCTGTTTGTAGATAATGAGTCGAGCGTTATTTTCAGCTGACCTACTCGGCTGTAGCTGAGTCGCTTGATTAGCAGTTGAACAGCACAAACTATGTGATTTTCTTATAACAATCACATTTATTAAGCAAATACTGCTACAAAACACTCTATAATGACAGGAGTGGACTTGATCATTAATGTGAAGTAGCTGAAGTAAACGTTCAAATATTTCAGAAATAACAAAAGAGGCCCATCTCTATGGTTACAATTACTTTGTCTAGCTCCGTGTTTCCGCTGGTGACATTTATATTGTGTGATAAGCAGCTTTTCATATGTGAAGAATGCTGGAGGATTCTGCAGTAACATTAAACTAACAGGGGCTCTTTATTTCTCTCCTGTGACAGTGAACACAACACAGCGACTTTCAGTAACTACTCTGCTCATCGTGCTGCTGCTTCCCTCACACACCAGGAGAGACTCATTTTAACAAAGCCACTAAAAGCCACATCCCCTTCCTTAAAGGGGATCTGCAGTCAGGCTGTGGATGTGTTTACCTCACCTCACCTCAAACATACCTACAATAGTAATTATATTAATTCATATAATGTTAAGAGAGACGGAGATAGGCATTGGTGGAGGAAGTACTCAGACTGTAAAGGCCTGCATTGAAAATGGTACTCATATGAGTAACATTTTGATTTCTGTACACGATACACTTTTCTTTTTCTTTACTCTTTCCCTCTATCAGGTCCAGCGATGTTATGTAAAATTCAGTAATAAGCAATAAAATAGAATAAATAAATAAATAAATAAAAAAAAAAACAGATTATCAAGAGGGGCCTTATAAAGCTCCCCTTGGCAAAGCAAATTTATTCAGCACGACACAGCAGCCAGATCATCACTCTGCTTGCTACAATGCTGGACCGGAGACGTGAAAGTAAAAGTACTTCATGCAAAAAATTCTATCATTAGAATATTATTACTCATGCAATAATGTGAAAGCAGGTCTTTACCAGTATAGCAACTCTTGAACCTTAGAAACAATGTGTAGTATGGGTATAACTTACCAATTACAAGATGCAGAAATCATCCAGGAAAAATGCAGTTTGTAAACAGCACCTTTTCAGTTAGAAGTCCTCATTAGTAAAGTGGTCAGTGAAACTTATGCAGACCATCATTGTGGCTGCATAATATTCCACATTTGACAGCTCGGTTCCACAGTTTCCACTGCCTTGTATTTCTATTATAACTCTGGGCAAGAAGCAACAGGACCATGTTTTAACAATTACCAGCGTTAACTGTTACAGTGACTTTCACAAGGTAAAAAGTTATCACATCAGTGATTTCTCTGCTGCTTGGAACCATTCTCATATGGTGTAACATTGGCAAAGACATCCAGAGTCATTTTTTCGATTTGGATAGATTTCAGATCTGACTTTGAACTCCTCACACACAGCTTTGTGCTGTTGATTTAGATGCTCAGACTGATTAGTTGTGTTGCCCCCAGTGCTGACAGACTACCTGGTTTTCAACATCATCTTTTCTGTATCCAAAATATTTCCATGCAACTAATTTTTTGTTTCTTTTTTTTCCCAATAAAATCTTCCTTTTCAGTGTTTTTCTCCTGTTCCTTGCTCCTCTTGTTGTGTGCTTGTGGAGCTTGTCTGTTGACAAACTGCACATCTTTCTACATAAAGTTAAATATATAACGGTACAGTTTTAGGACGGAAGGTCTGCATGTGGTCTCTGCTCATGTAAGTACAGAGGCGTTCCAATGATAGTTAAATATGTGTGTCTCTCAGGCCAGCAGCAGCTCTGAGTCTCTGGATGGACCTTGTGTGGACTATGCCAAGAGTTACGATGCAGTCGTCTTTGATGTACTTAAGGTGACACCTGAGGAGTTCGCTGTGAGTATGCCATTGATTTTCTGGGGGGAAAAAACAAAAAAACAGCAGATCATAACTACGGGATGGACCCCTCTTTAAAAGCAAGTTCAGTGATTCCAGTTGGGATCTACTTTAGACTTCTGAAAGTAAAGATGTATACATGTTGACCTCAAAACAGAAAAACGTTGTCTAAATGAGGATTTACATGAGGGCACCTTACTCACTGTTAATAATATTCTGTTTACCATCTGAACTATTTTTAATCAGATAAACTAAGATCCATGAAGACTGCCCTGACCACTTCGCCTCCATCAAATGATGATTTAAGCTGCTCTATAAAAAAGCAGTCACAAGTTTTTGTAAAATAGTTTAGCCTGAAGTCAAACTACAAGACATGTAAATAATCTTTTGATCCAAATACTGCATTAACTGCCTAGCTACAAGTTTTTCCACAGTCTTAGAAAACACAGGTGGAGTACAAGTCACGTACCGAATCAGCTGCTTTTCATTTGAAAGCTGGTAACACTAACGCTTCCATCACCCTGTTTTACTGCATAGACTTCAATCTGATGTGTTTGCTGTAATGTGAAAATGTCTGATAAAGTTCCTTCAAGAAGGATGCTGGTAGCTCAGAGGCAGTCGTAGCCGATGTGCTGCTGTTGAACAAAAAGGCTGACTGTCCACGTACATTTTTTTTCACAGCATCATTTTCCATTTGTTCCCAACGAGGAGAGATCATACGAGTGCTGCATTTGTTCATTTGTTATCACAATGAAGGCTGATGATATTCTATTATACAGTCGTGATTAGAATTTTGATTAGAATTGTGATACGTGGTTAGGATATTATCATAAAAACAAAACCCACATTCAGTGAAAGCTTTTTTTTTTTTTGATTAAGTGCTGGGATGAAGCACTCAACCTGCCAACGCTTTTCTGCCATATTAAAAACACTAATAATGCTTTTACTTATTTAAATTACTGCTGCAACAACAAGTTCCTCTAATTTCTAAAATCCACTGTGGGTTTCTGAGTTCTTGTTCTTAAAGCCAGATGTTTAGATTTACTGCTTGCAGCCCTCTTGGTTCTACTCCACCTAAAATCTGAGCAGACGAATATAACTCACTTTTTAGAATACAGGGAACCTGTTGACTCGTGCATGTTGGAACAGTTTATCTGACGGTGGTGCTATCCCTACTCAGCCTGGATAGACAAACCCAACTGGGTCCTACTTTCCCTCTGTTTTGTAATCAGACTGTTTTCAGTTGCTGTCACTTGTACTTCATATTTTGCTGTTAACTGAGCTTCTGTTACATAGCGTCTTCCCACTGCTGCCTTCACATGTTGGAGGCACAGTTGGAGAAACAGAAGAAACACAGAAAATCAGTTTTCTTAAAGCCAGGGTTAATGACTGTTAGAGAAGTGCCTTAATTTAAAGTCACTTCGACAAAGACTTCAGCATTTAGCTAAAGCTGTCACTACCAGCACAGTAGGTTGTGGTGTCACTAAATACAGAAATTCTTAGCAGTTGTTTCTCACTTATTATTTCCAGATAAAACCAAAATGCATTTATGTTTTTTTATTTCTTATATTATATGATATACCAAAGCTTTGTCTCCTGCATACTGAAAAGCATACTGGATATCTTAATATCTTTGTTCTTATTTCAGAGCCAAATCACCCTGATGGATGCACCAGTCTTTAAAGCGATACAGCCAGAGGTAAGAAAGATCCATGTATTAAGTGGACCATCCCTGGAACATCATTTCCAGTTATAACTCAGGAATTTTTCGAACTTCACATTTTCACCTTGGATTCCAGATATGTGTAACCCTTAAAATTTGAAAGTGTCCAATCTCCTGTTTCAAACGATCTCTGATCATTTGTATTATTGGGTTAGATGGTAAATAAGGCTAATTGGTTAAATTATTAATGATAATTCATAGATTAACCAACATCTCTATTGGGGCGGATGTGGATTAGGAGGTAAACCGGGTTGTCCACTGATCTCAAGGGTGGTGATTTGACCCCCGGCCCCTCCACATGCCGAAGACTCCTTGGGCAAGACGCTATACCCCAAGTTCACCTTGCATGGAAGCTCTGTTGCCATTGTTGTGTGAATTGGTGAATAGGAAACATTGCACTTTGAGTACCACCAGTTTCTACAGAACAGAATTTCGTGGCTTTATGAGACTAGTATCATATCTAGCACTCTGCTGTAAATAGCAGTACATACATTTTATCCTTTTAATAAGGTTAAATACATAAAATAAAATAAATTAAGTCTTTAGTTAACACTCTTTATGCAATAAATGAGTTACACAATCGGTCTGACATTAATAAACTACTTCCTCGTGGCTTGTCACTAGAACGCCAATAGGCATTTGCATTTTTGTTCCTTCCTACTTCTACAAGCCTACAGTCCTGTCTAGAAAGATACACGATATGTAAGGTATTTTTCATTAATATGTGCTAACTTAAAGGTATTTACAATGCTGTGAACACTACACTGTCTTAAGTTTTAGTCCAGAGATGGGGTGTCATTGGTCGTCAGTTTAGTTAAACTTAGTGGCTTCATGCTTCATGCATAAAACTTTAGAGTCAGCCACCATACTCCCAGTGACAATGAGGATTGTTGCATATAAACCTGTTGGTTAATGTAATTTTTGTCTTGGCAGGAGCTGGCCAGCTGTGGATGGAATGGGAAGGAGAAACACAGTTTGGCCCCCAATGTGGTTGCATTCACACGTAGATTCAATCAGGTACGACTGGCAGGACGTTTTAAAAATGTTTTACTTCTTCTCCTTGTTAAATAGTCACACTTTACAAATGTGACCAGTTCACATATGTGGTGAGCCCCACTAGACTGAGCTGAGGGGGAAAAAAGAACCAAATCTGTAGTCTAGATTTCTAAACTGTGCTCTTGAATTCATAATCAGTACTAGCAGGTTTGCAGCCTGTTCTCACAGTTTTGTAAACCATGCACATAGATTTAAAAACAAAATTCCAATTGATCTAGATTAAAGGGTAGACTTCATGCCCTGCTGTCTTTTTTATTTGCTGTGCTTTTGACACTGTCAAAATGCTCCATTCCAGATTGCAAATCCATGGACACAAATGACAAATCCGGGAGTACGATTTATAAACCAAAAATACAGATTCCTACGTCTCTTTATCTTTTTTTTTCTTCTCAGCTGACCATGGGGGGGGGGGCTACATACAAATATTATCATTTAGGCTTGATGTGTGACTTGAATGGTTATATTAAAGGTAAGTGAAATTCTGTACCCACCCATGAAAATGTGTCATTTTGCTACTGTGTTAATCATCCTCCCACTTTGTTACTGAGTACAGAGGATGTCTGTGGTGTACGAGCTGCTCTACTGACCATCTTTCTCCTCTTTGAGATCATGAACGGAAATCCTGGCAACCTTTATAGAGCATTACTTTACCTAAATACCATCACTGAATAGGTCACATCCAGAAATGCTCATTATTGGATTCTAATGTGCAATCCAATTTTTGGGGGTTTTTTTGTTTGTATTTTTTCACACATTGGCAAATCATTTCATGACCACAGCCAATAAAAACTGTATTATTAAAGACCACTTTCAATGGAAGTAAAAATTTTAACCTTGTAAAATGCCCATATGGATTTTGTTTTTACTATGCTAAAGGCCTTTTATGAGTGAAATAAGCAGCCAACAAAGCTATGCATTTCTACCTAGGAACTGAGGTGTAACAATGAACATCTCAAAAACAAGCCATGGTTTCATACATAGCAAACAGTTGTAATCAAATGTATTCATGCTAATGCCAAATTTTGATTTCTTTTTCATTTTTATTGACTAAAATGGATACGATTCGTGACAACAGATGATAAAACCTAGTTCTAGCAATATTGATAATTTTCTTTCTTTAAATTTTTACTAAATCTGTAAGTCCAACATTTTTTGTACTCTTTCTCAGTAATCAGTAGAAAAGGCTTTTTATCGCTATGCAATCAAACAGTTCTTATAACTGCTAACAGGCTTTTCGCCCATCTCCACTGGGGTTTTGAACCACTTTTTGACGATCTCCAGGTTCTTGAGGTTGAAGGCTTCCTTGTCATTGCTCTGGCCTTTTGTTCCCCCCAAAGATTCTTGATAAGGATTCAAGTGTGGACAATGGCTGGGCCATGCCAGAATGTTGATACTTTCTGTTAACCATTTCTTGATGCTTTTAGGTCATGTCTTGTAGGGAAGTCCAATGCTGACCAAGGCCAAATATTTCTGCAGACTGCCTGATGTTTTTCTTCACAATCTTACTGTTGTCGTCCTCTTTTGTAATGCTGTTTACTTTATCAAGGTTGCCTGGTCCATTGACAAAAAAACACCCCAAATCATTACATTCTCCCTACCATGCTTTCCTGAGAGAATGGTGTTCTTAGGATTGAATGCCTCTCCTTTCTTTCACCAAATGAAAATCACTCAATCAGTATCTCTGTGTCCAAACAACTGCATTTTCATCTCATCTGACCACAGAACTGATGACCAAGAGCTTTCTTTTTTGTCAAGGTGAGCTTTTGTAAAATCAAGAGGAACTTTTCTGTGCCTGTCTTGGACAAATAGAGTCTTCTTTGCTCTGCACTAAGCTGTTGGTACTAGAATTGTTCAGATTTTTCAGTATGGCATTTGTGGTGATCCATGGATTCAAGCATGGTCACATTTGGCTTCTACCAGCACCAAAACTCTTTCACTAGATTCACTTTTTTAGGAGATATTCTACATTATGTATTTAAACTCCAATGCCAATAATGGTGGCCTGGACTGTGTATGCTTCAAAGCTCACAAAATGTCAGAGAGAATTGAAAGGCACTGACTTCCTGACTAAAGTCAAGAAATGTGGCTGTCACTAAGCAAATATCAACTTTAGTTCAAACTACAGGCATTGATTAAGTTGATATATTCGGAAGTATGTGAACCCTCTGGGATTATTTGGATTTCTGCATAAATTGGTCTTATAATGTGTTTTGATCTTCATCTAAATCACAACAATAGACAAACACAGTCTGCGTAAACTAATACCACACAAAAAATATATGTTTTTGTTGAACATAACATGTAAACATTCACAGTGCAGAGTGGAAAAATTATGTGGACCTCTAGGCTAATGACTTCTCCAAGAGCTAATTGGAGCCAGGAGTCAGCCAACCTGGAGTCCAATCAATGTGATGAGATTGGATGTGTTGGTTAAAGCTGCCCTGCCCACAAAAAAAAACCCAAAGAAAAACACAACAGTTTTGAGTTTGCTGTTCTCAAGAAGCATTGCCTGATGTGAACCATGCCTCGCACAAAAGAGCTCTCAGAAGACCTACGATCAAGAATTGTTGACTTGCATGAAGCTGGAAAGGGTTACAAAAGTATCTCTAAAAGCCTTGATGTTCATGCGTCCACAGTAAGACAGACTGCAAATGGAGAAAGTTCAGCACTGTTGCTACTTGGGGCTGCTTTGCTGCCTCAGGGCTTGGACGGATTGCTGTCATCGAAGGAAAAATTAATTCCCAAGTTTATCAAGACATTTTGCAGGAAAACTTGAGACCATCTGTCCGCCAACTGAATCTCAACAGAGGATGGGTGATGCAACAGGACAACGACCCAAAGCATAGAAGTAAATCAACAACAGAATGGCTTCAACAGAAGAAAATATGTCTTCTGGAGTGTCCCAGTCAGAGTCCTGACTTTCATTTGATTGAGGTGCTGTGGCATGACCTCAAGAGAGTGATTCACACCAGACAACCCAAAAATATTGCTGCACAGAAACAGTTTTGTAAAGAGGAATGGTCCAAAAATCCTGACTGTTGTGCAGGTCTGATCTGCAACTACAGGAAACGTTTGGTTGAGGTTATTTCTGCTTAAGGAGGGTCAACCAGTTATTAAATCCACATACTTTTTCCACCCTTCACTGTGAATGTTTATATGTTGTGTTAAAAACCTGAAAACATATATTTTTTGTGCGGTCTTAGTTTAAGCAGACTGTGTTTGTCTATTGTTGTGACTAAGATGAAGATCAGAGCACATTTTATGACCAATTTATGCAGAAATCCAAGTAATCCCAAAGGGTTCACATACTTTTTCTTGTTGCTGAGAAAATTAGAAACAGACAACATGATCCAGACTTGATAAGAAACTTTTCAAATGTGATTTATGATGCCCAGGATTCAGATATTCACACCCAACTACAATGTTCCTCCATGACCGCCCCCATCCTGTCAGTATCTACCACCTGTTTACCTGTCAACATGCCCAACTAAATCTTAGCCACCTGCTGGGTATTCACATCACAAGACTCCATACACCATCATTCTAATGTCATCGAACACCAAATTTGTATGTGAGCAAACGTATTGGGACAGATAGACTTAAAATAAATCAAAGTGAATAAGACTTAATATTTAGTTACAAAAGCTGCATCAAGCCTGTGACCCATTGACATCACCTAACTTTTGCAATCTTCCTTTGTGATGCTTTTCCAGGCTTTCCCCGCAGCCTCTTTAAGTCATTGTTTGTTTTGGGGGTTATTCCCTTCAGTCTCCTCTTTAGCAGGTAAAATGCATGCTCTGTAGGGTTTAAGTCTGGAGATTGACTTGGCCAGTCTAAAACGTTCCTCTTCTTGCCCCTGTTGAACTCCTTTGTTGTTTTGGCAGTGTGTTTTGAGCCATTATCTCATTGCACAATGAAAAGACCTCCCAGTTGGTTTGGTTGCATCGTTCTTTACATTGGCAGACAAAATGTTTCTCTAGACTTGTGAGTTCATTTTGCTGCTGCCGTCATGTGTTACATCATCATTGAAGATTAATGAGCCCGTCCCAGAAGAAGCTATTCTAGCCCAAGCCATGACATTACCTCCACTGTGTTTTGCAGATAAGCTTGGGATCATGAGGGGATCTTCTCTTTTTCCAAACTTGAACCTTTCCATCACTTAAGTAAAAGTTAATCTTTGTCTCATCAGTCCATAAAACTTTGACCCATAATTTTTGAGGCTCATCTCTGTACTTTTTGGCAAATTCCAACTTAGCCTCCCTATTCTTCTTGCAAATGATTAGTTTGCATGTTCTGGTGTAGCCTCTGTACTTTTGTTCATGCAGTCTTCTGTGTACAATGGATTGTGTTGCCTTCACTCCTGCCCTCTGGAGGTTGTTGCTGATGTCACTAGCACTTGTTTTAGGGTCTTTCTTTACAGCTCTCCTAATGTTTCTGTCATCAACTGCTGTTTTCCTTGGTCTACCCATTTGACGACTGTTACTTAGTACACCAGCGGTTTCTTACTTTTTCAGGACATTCCAGGCTATGAAATTGTATTGTACAGGCTATGGCCAATGTTTGTGCAATGGCTCTGATTGATTTTCCATCTTCTCTCAGCTTCACAATTGCTTGTTTTTCACCCACAGACAGCTCTCTGGTTTTCTTTTTGGTTACACCTCTAACTATAAATGCAGTCTGCACAGGCAAAACCCAAGTCTGAAGCTGAAAGTAGACATTTAGGACACACCAGGGCAACACAACACACCTGTCAGTCACATGTTCCAATACTTTTGCTCTCATGAAAAATAGGTGGGTTCAAACAAAATGTGCTGTTTTCTAAGTTTTGCATCTGATCCAGATGTAAATACCAGGAAACAAAAGCTGAAATGCTGATCTCTTGTCTCTCCTCTTTTAATGGCAAACCCAAATGTTTTCATTCTACAGCAAAAATAAAGGAATTGTCCCCATTGTTCCAATACTTTTGGAGGGGAGTGGATCACACTGTCCATGCGGTCATTATGAGAGGATGACCACTGCAGCTCTGATGAGTGGGTCTATGGCTCATTCTTTACCTTCTGATTACTGCTGCAAATGTGTTACCACTAATTTTTAGTTGGTCACTAATCTTGCAGTCTTCTTGTTTATATTTGATCATTCAAGATTTTTCTGTCCCTCTGGCAATACCTTCCAAGGGGAATCACTATGCAGACATGCAGATGTGCCTATAGGTCCACGTTCTGGTATCATTCATACAAGTAAACTAAACAGATATCCTCAATTTAGTGTCAATGATCACAGCTTTTCTAACTTGTCCTTCAGTGTTTCCACATGTTTTCTTTGTCGTTGCATTGAGTTTCTACTTTAGGCCCCGTATTTTCATAAGTATTTGTTTATATATATATATTTATTTGTATGTTGTTTCTGTTTCAGGTGAGCTTTTGGCTGGTGAGAGAAATCTTAACTGCCCAGACGCTGAAAATCCGAGCAGAAATACTGAGCCATTTTGTCAAAATTGCAAAGGTGAGTTCAACTGGTGATTCATTGTCCAGCCCAAGATGCTATCAGTTTAAACACTGTCACATTTAAACATTGTCACTGTCACAACACATAGTCTAGTACAGGGGTGTCCAATCCTGGTCCTCGAGGGCCACAATCCTGCATGTTTTAGATGTTTCCCTCTTCCA